AGAGACAAGAGAGACAGAGAGAGACAGAGAGACAGTGACAGAGAGACAGAGAGAGACAGAGACAGAGAGTCCAGCGGAACTCGACAGCCGGCCCGAGCGACGGTCATGAAGTCGGCGCCACCACGTGACTCGTCACACGTGCGTGGAGCGCCACGGTGGCTAGGAGATGTTAACTCCCTCGCCTGGTACACAGGAGATCGTGGGTTCAATCCCCTGACCCTGACGACTGCTGTGTATTTGGAGTTTTCATGTCTCTCTCTCTCCCCATGGTGGCGTGGATTTTCCTCCGGGGTCCTGCGTGGTGTTTCCCCTCTACATTTGAAGAATCAACATCACGCGTTTAGAGTATTTGGCTACTTATACATTTCCACACGACCGTAATCCCGCTTCGTTGAGCTATCATTCGTGATTACCAGTTCGCTTTTGAAAATATATCTATATCTATATAACTCAGTGGGCCTTACCTGGTTTAAAAAAAAAAGAATAAATACGTGAACAGTGAAATAGTTAGTGCGAGGTGCGAGTAATGCCTGCTCTCAAATACATATATACGTAAACCTATATATTATTTGTTAACATAAATATAATAACCCAATGCGTCCTGACTTTATGGCCACCCTGGACAGAGACAAAGCCCCCACCCCGTATCATCACCAAGAGGCGTGCGCAGAACACGCTGCTGAGTATAAGTAGCATATGTAGTAGCTTCATATGTAGTAGCTACATATGTAGTAGCTTCATATGTAGTAGCTACATATGTAGTAGCTTCATATGTAGTAGCTACACATGTAGTAGCTACACATGTAGTAGCTACACATGTAGTAGCTACATATGTAGTAGCTACACATGTGTAGTAGCTACTACATATGTAGTAGCTTCATATGTAGTAGCTGCTACATATGTAGTAGTTACATATGTAGCAGCTACTACATATGTAGTAGCTACGGGCCCCGCACTTCCAAGGACCCTGCGCTAAATGCTTTCAAGCTATCAATTCCGGTTCAGTGATTCTGCACTTGCTCTATTACTATAGTACTACACCGCCTTCGACTTTTACGAACGACTGGGTGTTTCAGGTGAGCGATTTGTCGTATTATCTGGCCGTGTAGCAAATGGAAAAATACGATTACTTTACTATGCTAGCTAAAAATGTGTGTTTAATATGTGTGTGTGTGTGTTTTTATTATTATTTATAACATATGCTCCAGACCCCGCGCTAGCTTCATCCGGCACTGCCCCCCCCCCAACCCCACCCCCCATGCACGATCCCTTGAGACCGCCACTCGCCACTGATGTCAGCCTGTGGCCCTGGGAGTCGAACTCAGGCCTCGCCGGGTTCGCAGCGCAACGTGCTACTGACCCTGAGGTCAGCAAACCAAACGTAACAAGAAAGGCCAATTTTTGTTTTGTTTAAATTCGTCGTGAAACTAAAATGCAATCTTTGAAGAGCCGCGAAGCACAGTGGTGGCGAATACGTGGCGGTGGTGCTTGATAAACGACGCCACGAGGCAGTCCGTCAAGAGCCGCATGAGGCTCCTGACCCACAGGAAGTTCACCCTCTGCGCTAACCGCTGCCCCACCGCTCCTCGACACCCTCCATCCCCCCATGCCCCTCCCCCCCCGTGCACACAGCCGCTCGGAAAAATAAACACGCACTCGCACACGATGACTTTGAATTATCGTTTATTATCAGAGTTATTAAATAACTTAATAATTTAACATAAATAACAATGAACAGGAAAAAAAACCCGATGCAACCCAGCAATATGCGATGTAACAAAAACATTTAAATCCAACAACAACATCAAAAAAATATACTTGCTGACACACACAGACACACAGGCAGACACACACAGACACACACACACACATACACACATACACATACACACATACACACACATACACACATACACATACAAAAAACAAAGATCCCCCGTATAGCCTTAACAGACTGTAGGGGCAAGTGCTGTTAGCGAGCACCTATGAAGGCCGGAACGGTACACGAGGGGGTGGGTGGCCAGCACCACGCCCGACCGCCTTTGTCTCCCTAGTGGCGATATTTACACACCGCACAAGGTACTCATTTGAGGCTGAGTCGACCTAGGGGAGGCCCGGGACCGGTTCAGATGATCGTCACTGGTGTTGGCCGTGAGCGGGAATCGAACCCGGGTCGCCAGGTTCATAGCGCAGCGCGCTAACCGCTACACTATCGCTCCCCACAACACACACAGACACACATACATACACATACACACACACATACACATACATACACACACATACACAGACACATACACACACATACATACACACATACACACACATACACACACATACACACACATACACACACATACACACACATACACACACACATACACACACATACACACACACACATACACACACATACACACACATACACACATACACACACATACACACGTGTTGGTGGGGCGGTGCCGGCGCCGCAGCAGCAGCGGGTGGTGGTGGGGGAGAGGGTGAGGGGAGAGGGTGAGTGAGAGGGTGAGTGAGAGGGGGAGTGAGGGGGAGAGGGTGAGTGAGAGGGTGAGTGAGAGGGGGAGAGGGTGAGTGAGAGGGTGAGTGAGGGGGGGAGAGGGTGAGTGAGAGGGTGAGTGAGGGGGGAGAGGGTGAGTGAGAGGGTGAGTGAGAGGGTGAGTGAGAGCGGTGGGTGGGTATCAACACTGACATGTCAAAAAAAAAGAAATATCCGTACATCACCAGCACACGAAAGCATTTCACAAAACCCACCGCGAAATGAAACAGCAACAACCACACTTGAGACCTTGCGCGTCATTCTCACCGGAGTTAGCTGGAGCACGGGGCTCACGCGTTGTATAACAACAACAACAATAATAACAACAGCAACAACAAGAAAACAAAACGCTATAAACAGCCGACGGACAGCCTCCCCGTGTGGCACCAACGACAGACGGCGACAGCTGGTCTTGTCGACACGTGCGTGTGAGGTCCACTCAGCATCAAATGAGTACCTGGTGCTGCGCGCAGTAAACGTCGCCACTTGGGGAGACAAAGGCGGCCGGGCGTGGCGTTGGCCACCCCACACCCCCCTCGTGTGCCGTTCCCAGGCCTTCGTAAGTGCTGCTCGCTAACAGCACTTGCCCCAACAGTCTGTTACAGGCTATACGGGGGATCTTTGTCTTCGTGTGTGTGTGTGTGAGAGAGATATCAAGAGTTTAACGCCACATCAAGTGAACGTCCAAGTGCTCCGTTATAATCACCACCCCTCCCCCCCCCCCCCACAATGACCCACAGGCGTGAGACGGCAGCATCATCCATCAGTGGATTGAGCAAGGAATCGTCAATGATCCCTGGTCGACAATACAGGGGCACGGCGGTGATGGTGAGGACGCGCGGCGCAGACGACACGGATCGAAACGGATCGACGCATTCCTCGACAGCACAGAGAGCGAGTGCGGAGAGCACAATGTAACTAACGGCCGACGTTTCGGGGCAAGGTGCAGGTGAGGAGCTGTGGCATTCTCAAGCGGGTGACTCCCACGTGCGGCGGCCCCATCCGATCGGACTTCGCCAAGGCACACTCGGACGCGCGGGGCCCCGATGCGCCACTCCACCGCTGCGTGAATCGACGGGCTTCACAGTCGCCGCTGTCGGCCGTGGGTTGATGGGGGCGGTGGGGGTGTTTAACCATACTTCACCACGCTGGTCAATTTGCGGGTTGGTGGACAGAGCGTCGGTTGAGGTATCACGCACCAGCGATGTTTGGCCGTGAGCAAGAAAATTAAAACTCGAGTGTTTGCCCCCCCCCCCCCACCACCCCGCCTCCCTCCCCCAATGCTGAGTTCAGTTGACTTGTGTGGTCACGGCTCACATCAGTGGCGAGTGGTATCCGAACCTCCTCTCTCCCGCCCTTGTCCATCATCGCCATCATCATCGTCGTCAATCCGCGCCCGAACGAACCGCGCGGTGAGGTGTGGCGACGCAACCGCGTGGGGAGGCGCTCATCCAGCAGCGAAGCGAAAAAAGCGTCGTGCGGTACTGTCCAATAATAATATTATTGATAAAATGATTATCAATAATAGTAATATCAATAGTAATAACATCATTATCATCATCATCATCGCGATATCCCGAACATCTCTCAGTCCAACGTTTGCTGTTCGTCACGCACCAGGCACTTAAGTCTCGCGTCGCCATCAGTGTAAATAAAAAACAACAACAACAACAAGAACGGCGACGATGATCGTGAGCACGGAAAATCACACTAGGGCACAGACACGGGGCGCGACTATTTTTTGGTATATTCTTGCAAGCTCCGAACTTTCAACAGGCAGTGGCTACGTCACACCGTGGGGCTTTTAACTTTGCGCGCACGCTCGTGTGCGCGTGTGCGCGTGTGTGCGCGCGTGTGTGTGTGTGCGTGTGTGTACGTGCGTGTGTGTGCGCGTGTGTGCCCGCGTGTGTGTGTACGTGCGTGTGTGTGTGCGCGCGTGTGCGCGTGTGCGTGCGCGCGTGTGTGTGTACGTGCGTGTGTGTGTGCGCGCGTGTGCGCGTGTGCGTGCGCGCGTGTGTGTGTGTGTGTGTCCGCGTGTGTCCGCGCGCGTATGTGCGTTCGTGTGGGCGTGCGTGTGTGTGTGCGCGTGTGTGTGTGTGCGTGTGTGCGCGTGTGTGTGCGTGTGTGCGCGTGTGTGTGCGTGTGTGTGTGTGTGTTCATATAACCACGTGGGGTAGCGTAACGGTGAAGCGCGCTGCGCTATGAACCTGGCGACCCGGATTCGATTCCCGCTCACGGCCAGCACCACCAGTGACGATTATCTCCACCGGTCCTGGGCCATCGCTAGGTCGGCTCAGCCTCAAAATGAGTACCTGGTGCGGTGTGTAGTAAACATCGCCACTGGGGAGACAAAGGCAGTCGGGCGTGGTCGCTGGCACACCCACCCCCTCGTGTGCCGTGCCGGCCTTCATAGGTGCTGCTCGCTACTAACAGCACTTGCCCCAACGCTTTGTTAAGGCTACACGGGGGATCTCTGTCATTGTCGTATAAACAAGTAATAACTCCTCGTGTCCAAGTCATAGGCACAAGGATTGACACAAGAAGCGGTTGCCCGTGCGCGTCGATACGCACCCATGCGTGTGTGCGCGTGTCGAATTTGGCGCGTGCGTGCGTGCGTGCGCGTGCGTGCGCGCGCGCGTGTGTGCAGTGCTCACGTTAATAGGCGCTCGCTAACAGCAGTCGCTTCCTTGTGCGCGCGCGTGTTCATGCGCGACTCGCGCGCGGCACTTTAACGCACGAACACGTTCGATGCACGCGTCAGAGATGCACGTCGAGGTCCCTGCGTCGTGGCGTCGCGTGGTCAGCTGCAGCAGTCGCCTCTCGCGTGCAAAGTTAAACGACGCGAACTAACAACACCATCACCAACATCATCATCATCACCATCACCAACATCATCATCACCAACATCATCATCATCATCATCGTCGATCAAAGTCACAAGGGTTTCTTCTTCTCTTTCGCTGGAGGAGAAGGGGTCATCGACACGTCGTCGTCGTCGTCATCATCATCGCCGCCGCCACCACCACCACCGTCATCATCGTCACGCTCGCCAGCGTCCTCACGGTCTCGAGCTCTGATGGATGACGACTCGCATCCGCACTTGCAGCCTCTCGTCCCCACGGCCTTTCCGGGGCTCACGTCTCCTGCCACTGGAGCGGTGACCGCTGCTACAACACCACCGACACCGCCACCACTGACACCACCACCAACAACAACAACAGCACCAGCGCCGACACCTCCTCCTCCTCCTCCACCGCCGCCTATCGCCTTCCCTTCCTTCTTGTGCTTTACGCGCCGGTTCTGGAACCAGATCTTGACCTGCTTCTCGGAGAGGTTCAGGTACGTGGCGATCTCGATGCGTCGCAAGCGCGACAGGTATCGGTTGGAGGAGAATTCTCTCTCGAGCTCCAGGAGCTGCGTGCTCGTGAACGCCGTCCGCATGCGCTTGCTGCTGCTGTTGCTGCTCAGAACTCCGCCACCATCGGCGCCTGCGACACATAGAGAGAGGGGTGGGGCGGGGTGGTGGTGGTGAGAAGGGGTCGATTACGATAGGGGTCGGTGGTTCGGCACGCGGGGACGTGTCTGTGTGTGTTCCTGTGCGTGCGTGTCTGATCGTGGGGAGCGGTGTTGTAGCGGTTAGCGCCACGCTGCGCTACGAACCCGGCGACCCGAGTTCGATTCCCTCTCACGGCCAACACCACAGTGACGATTATCTGAACCGGTCCTGAGCCTCCCCTAGGTCGGCTCAGCCTCAAATCAGTAGCTGGTGCGGTGTAGTAAACATCGCCACTAGGGAGACAAAGGCAGCCGGGCGTGGTGCTGGCCACCCACCCCCTCGTGTACCTTTCCGGCCTTCATAGGTGCTGCTCGCTAACAGCACTTGCCCCTACAGCCTGTTAAGGCTACACGGGGGATCTTTGTCTTTGTGTGGAGGAGGTGGAGGTAGTGAGGAAGGGGGGGGGGGGGTGTAGCGCAGTGGTTGGCGCACGGTGCTTTTAAATCGACCACCTGAGTCCGATTCCCGGCGAGTGATGTCTGCACTGGTCATGAGCCATACACCGCTTAGTCGAATCAGCCTTAAAGTGACATATGAGTACTATAAGGAGACAAAGGCGGCTGGGCGTTGTGGAATCGAATGCAGGTGAGCCGGGAATGTAAGGAAAATGACTCAGCCGTTTGACAAAACTACAATTGCATGATTTGTGTTTAAACACACACGTACACTCACGTGGTCATGGCCCACTGCTAACGCAAAAAGCAGTGCGTTATCACATCAGCACTCAAATGTATGTCCGTGAGTCTGATTGTCCGTGCGTCTGCCTGTGTGTCTCTGTCTGTCCGTGTGTCTCTGTCTGTCTGTGTGTGTCTGTCTGTCTTCGTGTGTTACTGTCTGTCTCTCTGTCTGTGTGTCTCTGTCTGTCTGTCCGTGTGTCTCTGTCTGTCTCTCTGTCTGTGTGTCTCTGTCTGTCTCTCTGTCTGTGTGTCTCTGTCTGTCTGTCTGTGTGTCTCTGTCTCTCTGTCTGTGTGTCTCTGTTTGTCTGTCTGTCTGTGTGGCTCTGTCTGTCCGTGTGTCTCTGTCTGTCTGTCCGTGTGTCTCTGTCTGTCTCTCTGTCTATGTGTCTCTGTCTGTCTCTCTGTCTGTGTATCTCTGTTTGTCTGTCTGTCTGTCTGTGTGTCTCTGTCTGTCTGTGCGTGTGTTTCTGTCTGTCTGTCCGTGTGTCTCTGTCTGTCTCTCTGTCTGTGTGTCTCTGTCTGTCCGTGTGTCTCTATCTGTGTGTCTCTGTCTGTCTGTCCGTGTGTCTCTGTCCGTCTCTCTGTCTGTGTGTCTCTGTATATCTGTCTGTCTGTCTGTGTGTCTCTGTCTCTCTGTCCGTGTGTCTCTGTCTGTCTCTCTGTCTGTGTGTCTATGTCTGTCTGTCTGTCTGTGTGTCTCTGTCTGTCGGTGTGTCTCTGTCTGTCTGTCCGTGTGTCTCTGTCTGTCTCTCTGTCTGTGTGTCTCTGTCTGTCTGTGTGTCTCTGTCTGTGTGTCTCTGTTTGTCTGTCTGTGTGTCTCTGTCTGTCTCTCTGTCCGTGTGTCTCTGCCTGTCTCTCTGTCTGTGTGTCTCTGTCTGTCTGTCCGTGTGTCTCTGTCTGTCTATCTGTGTGTCTCTGTCTGTCTGTCTGTGAGTCTCTGTCTGTCCGTGTGTCTCTGTCTGTCTCTCTGTCTGTGTGTCTCTGTCTGTCTCTCTGTCTGTGTGTCTCTGTCTGTGTGTCTCTGTCTCTCTCTCTGTCTGTGTGTCTATGTCTGTCCGTGTGTCTCTGTCTGTCTCTCTGTCTGTGTGTCTCTGTCTGTCTCTCGGTCTGTGTGTCTCTGTCTCTCTGTCTGTGTGTCTCTGTCTGTCCGTGTGTCTCTGTCTGTCTCTCTGTCCGTGTGTCTCTGTCTGTCTGTCTGTGTGTCTCTGTCTGTCTCTCTGTCTGTGTGTCTCTGTCTGTCTCTCTGTCCGTGTGTCTCTATCTGTCTCTCTGTCCGTGTGTCTCTGTCTGTCTCTCTGTCCGTGTGTCTCTGTCTGTCTCTCTGTCCGTGTGTCTCTGTCTGTCTCTCTGTCCGTGTGTCTCTGTCTGTCTCTCTGTCCGTGTGTCTCTGTCTGTCTCTCTGTCCGTGTGTCTCTGTCTGTCTCGCTGTCTGTGTGTCTCTGTCTGTCCGTTCACCTGTTTGTTCCGCATCACAACCGAATAAGAACGAGCCAAGTAGTGCTTTGCCTTTGTTTTTTTAAACACCGGTGGTACAGTTGAAAAGTTGACTCCCGACAGCAAAGCCGCTTCCGCCCCGCGTACTTAAGTGAAAAAATTAATTGGGCTAGTCACATTCATAATTAATTATCAATGCGTTTTCATTAACGCACGACAGCACGCGGACGCGCTTTTCATTGCTCGCGCGCTCCGTGCTCGCGATAGCGCACGCCGATTGCCACCTCCGCCCGAACCTTTCGAATACTTTACTAAACCCAGCTCACCTGGACACTCTACGAGTACAACACCACGTCCGATATGCACCTATGTACTGACACATTAAGGTGCTTAAGCCTAGTTACGTCCGAGCGTGAACGCACGCGGCGTAACACGCCTACGTCGCGGTCCCCACGTCGTCAGAACCCTCGCCCGTGACGGCGCGCGCGCTAGTCGCGTGTGATGAACGATATTCCTTCGAACTTTCTGCCGATTTCTCAAGAAAAGCAGCGGCTACCGAGGATCTAGGTGAGCGCGGCTATGAAATGCTCGTGGCATTTGACTCGATTCATCGATGAATCTTCGAGATACTTTAATGCGTAAAACGCGGGAGGTTGGAGTCCTAGCTGCGGTTGACAGCAAAGAGAATCAGTCGAGGCCGCGCGCGTTCGAACCGCTGCTGCCTTACGCATCTTAAGCAGATCTCTCCACGCAAACGTAGATTGGCTGAGATAGAGATCCCTGACTCGGTATAGCCTCACCAGAGACTGTTGGGGCAAGTGCTGTTAGCGAGTAGCAACTATGAAGGCCGACACGCCACACCAGGGGTCTGGTGTCCAGCATCACGCCCGGCCGACTTTGTATTCCCAGCGGCGAGGTTTACACACCGCGCCAGGTACTTATTTGAGGCCGAGTCGACCTAGGGGAGGCCCACAACCGTTTGAGATAATCGTCATTGCTGTTTGGTGGCCGTCGGCGGGAATGGAACTCGGGGCCGCCGGCTTCGAAGCGAGACAACGCCGCTCCCCACGTGATAATCTTATCATCACGCGCGTGTGGATAACGCAGATTATTCACGTAGGCACACCCACGCGCGCGCTCACATTCGCGCAATGACATCAGACGAAACGACCGGCACATCGCGAGCGATTACAACAGCAGCGCGCGATATCACGCATTGAGCAACATGCGCGCGCGCGTGCACTGAAGTGTCAGCGCGTGTGCGTGTACGTGCGTGTCTCTGAGAGTTCGTGCCTATCTCGGTGTGAGTGTATCTGTCTGAGTGCCAGGTGAGCTCTGTAAACATAACCTCTAGGGAGACAAAGGCGACCCGGCGTGGTACTGGGCCACCCACACCCTCGTGTGCCGTGCCCGTCTTCATAGGTGCTCGCTAACAGCACTTGCTCCAACAGTCTGTTAAGGCTATACGGGGGATATTTGTCTTTGTATCTCGATGTGTCTCCGCGTGTATCTTTGTGTTTATGCATGTCTCGATGTGTCCGTGTGTGTCTGTATATATATCTGTGTGTGTGTATCGATGTTTCTCCGTGTGGGTCTCTGTCCATACGTCTCGATGTGTCTCCGTACGTCTCTGCGCGTGTGTCTCTGCGCGCCTCCGTGCGTGTGTCTCTGTGTCTCTGCGCGCCTCCGTGCGTGTGTGTGTGTCTCTCTGCGTGCGTGTGTCTCTGTGTCTGTGCGCGCCTCCGTGCGTGTGTCTGTGTGTCTGTGCGCGCCTCCGTGCGTGTGTCTGTGTGTCTGTGTGTGTCTGTATGTGTGTGTCTGTGTGTCTGTGTGTCTGTGTGTGTCTGTGTGTGTGTGTCTGTGTGTGTGTCTGTGTGTCTGTGTGTGTGTCTGTGTGTCTGTGTGTCTGTGTGTGTGTGTGTCTGTGTGTCTGTGTTTGTGTGCGCGCGGGGCAGCTCGCCCTTCACCCACCGAGCGGAAGGCAGTGGTGGAACCCAGGTCCCGGCATCGCGTAGGCGGGCGCGCAGAGGCCGTGCGATGGGTTGGGCGGCACGCAGGGACCCTGCGGCTGCTGCCCCCCGCAGTACGGAGTCGGCACTCTCTCGGCGAAGGGCGACTTGAGCAGCGCGTGGTGCGACAGGGAGCCCATCGCGCCACCGCCGACGCCTGTGATTGACGCCATGGCCCCTCCGCCCCCGGCGGTCCGCATGCACAGGGGGCAGACGCAGAATCCCGCGGCCGCCGCAGCAGCCGCGGCCGCCGCTGCTGCGGCTGCGGCGGCCGCAGCTGCGGTAGGCGAAGGAGAAGAGGCAGCAGCAGCTGCTGCAGCCGCCGCTGCTATTGTTGTGGCGGCTGCTGTTGTCGTCGGAAGTTGCGGTGGTGGTGGTGGTGGTGGTGGGAGAGTTTTGCGCACGTGGCTCGGGCTCAAGACGGGCGGGGAGTGCGCGCCGTGCATGCCGAAGGGGAGCGGTGGCAGCATGCTGGTGGTGTGGTGCTGGTGGTGGTGATGGTGGTGAAGGTGGTGCTGCTGTTGCTGCTGATGATGGTGGTGGTGGTGGTGGAGGCTGTCCAGTGGGGAGCGCCCGGGACGCAGAGGGTCCTTGACGATGAGCGAATCGACGAGGAAGGAGCGCGACATCGCTCCGGTTTGTCGTTGTAGTTTTAAAAATATATATATAATTTTTGAAAGAAACAATAACTAAGTCCACTGAAAAAAAAGAGTTTTGAGTTATAAATTCGCTGCGAAGAGATTGGCCGTCCTGCCCTGGCCTGCGGTGTCTGCGCGCACACACACGCGCACTCTCTACCTCCTCGCGAGACGAGAGAGAGAGACAGCGAGCGGTGGGGTTGGTGAGCTGCTGCTACTGCTGCTGCTACTGCTGCTACTGCTGCTGCTACTGATGCTGCTACGAGGTGGACTCCTTCTGCAGCCCGAGGAAGGAGGAGGAAGTCGCGCGTGGCTCCGAGCCGTGCGCCAAGACAGCGCCTCTGTACTCTGCGCGCCACGCAGCCCACCTATTTAATGGCCCCATTAGCATGGGGGGGCTTTGCGCGCATTAGCTCACAGCGGCACCAATGGATTCTTGCAAACTGCTTTCACTTTTTTTAGGGGGGGGGGAGAGGCGGGGGGGGGGGGATTTGGGAAAGTGTGGAGGGGGGGGGACTGCCCATTATTGGAGCGGGGTGCGAGTGGAGGATGGAAGGCAGGGAGGGAGGCAGGGAGGGAGACAGGGAGCGAGGCAGGGAGGGAGGCAGGGAGGGAGGCAGGGAGGGAGGCAGGGAGGGAGGGAGCGAGGCAGCGAGGCAGGGAGGGAGGGAGCGAGGCAGGGAGGGAGGCAGGGAGGGAGTCAGGGAGCGAGGCAGGGAGGGAGACAGGGAGCGAGGCAGGGAGGGAGGCAGGGAGGGAGACAGGGAGCGAGGCAGGGAGGGAGGCAGGGAGGCAGGGAGGGAGACAGGGAGCGAGGCAGGGAGGGAGGCAGGGAGGGAGGGAGCGAGGCAGGGAGGCAGGGAGGGAGACAGGGAGCGAGGCAGGAAGGGAGGCAGGGAGGGAGACAGGGAGCGAGGCAGGAAAGGAGGCAGGGAGGGAGGGAGACAGGGAGGGAGGCAGGGAGGGAGGGAGACAGGGAGGGAGCGACGCAGGGAGGGAGCGAGGCAGGGAGGGGTGAAACGATTTTTTAAAGACACGGAGCTCATTCTCTTTCTATATATTTTTTATTCACAGAAAGGGCGAGAGAGAGAGAGGGTTTTTTTTGTTTCTTTAAGATGGAGAAGAGATTGAGTGTTGGGCTTTAAGCGAAAAGGGAGTGGGTGGAGATGTGTTTGCTGTATGCACGTGCGCGCGCGTGCGTGTGAATGCGCCTGCCTGTATAATGTATATGTGTGTGTGTGCGGGGGGCGCTTTAAATGCTGGGGGACTTTCTTTCTCTGTTCTCGATGCAGGTGCAGGCATGTATTATGTATACGTGTACCTATGTACGTGGACTTATCGGGGTTGTGTGTGAGACAGAGTTGCACGTGTGTAGTGGAGCGGTAGTGTAGCGGTTAGCGGGCGGCGCTACAAACCTGGCCAACCCGGGGTTCGATTCCCGCTCACGGCCAACACCAGAGTGACGATTATCTGAACCGGTCTTGGGCCTCCTCCCCTAGGTCGACCCAGCCTCAAATGGAGCGGTGTGTAAACATCGCCACTAGGGAGACAAAGGCGGCCGGGAGTGGTGTTGGCCACCCACACCCTCGTGTGCCGTGCAGGCCTTTACAGGCGCTGCTCGCTAACAGCACTTGCCTCTACAGTCTGTTAAGGCTACACGGAGGATCTTTGTCTTTTGTGTGTATGCGTGTGTATGTATGGGGAGCGGTGGCGTGGTGGTTAGCGCGCTGCGCTATGAACCCGGCGATTCCCGCTCACGGCCAACACCAGTGACGATCCTGGGCATCCTCCCGCTAGGTCGACTCAGCCTCAAATTAGTACCTGGTGCGTTGCGGCCGGGCGTGGCGGTGCTGGCCACCCACCCCCTCGTGTGCCGTGCCGTCATTTAGCGTCGCTACTCGCTAAAAGCACTTGCCCCAAACGCCTGTTAAGGCTACACGGGGGGTCTCTGTCTTTGTTGTGTGTGTGCATGTCAACCTCAACTGATGGAGAAGTCGTGGTGTTTTTCTGTGTGTCCGTGTCAATGCAGTTGTATATGTCACACATATATGTGTGTACTATCACTGCAGTGTGTGGAAATGCAGGTGTGTACTATCAATAAAAAAAACTGCGTTGTGCGCTGTGCTTACAAGAGTGAGCATTTGTCAATGTATGCGTGTGTAAATGGGACTTGTATGATTGAGATAGAATGCGGGTACACATATGTGTATACACAGTATATATATACATACTGACGGGCACCTGTGAGTGTGAGTGTTGGCTTTGTTACGCAGTGTGCGTGCGTGTGTTGCGAGTCGCTTCAGACACTCACGACTCGCATCAGTGACGACAATCTGAAGCCGGTCCTGTGCCTCCCCTAGGTCGACTCAGCCTTACAAACGAGCACCTTACTCGGTGTGCAGGGTACAAAGGCGGCCGGGCGCGGTGCTTGACACACCACAACCACCACCACCTCTCGTGAGCCGCACTTTCCCCGACAGCCTCGAAAGGTTATCCGGGTGATCTTTGCCTGTGTGGCTGCTTTAATGTATATGTGTGTCTATACGTATGTATTAATGTACGTATGCATGCTCTGTGTGTACGTGTTTATTTTTGTATGCATGCATGGTGTATATGTGTGTGTGTGTGTCTATATGTATTTATGTGTATACTATGTATATATGGTGTGTATGTGTGTGTATACGTGTGTGTATATATGCATGCATGTTGTGTATGTGTGTGTCTATACGTATGCATTTGTGCATGCATGTTGTGTATGTGTGTGTATACGTATGTATTTATGTATGCATGTTGTGTATGTGTGTGTATATAAGCATGTATTTATGCATGCATATTGTTATGTGTGTCTATACGTATGTATTTATGCATGCATGTTGTGTATGTGCCTGTCTATACGTATATATTTATGCATGTATGTTGTGTATGTGTGTGTCTATACATATGTATTTATGCATGCATGTTGTGTGTTTGTCTATACGTATGTATTTATGCATGCATGTTGTGTGTGTGGCTATACGTATGTATTTATGCATGCATGTTGTGTATGTGTCTGTCTATACGTATGTATTTATGCATGCACGTTGTGTATGTGTGTGTGTCCATACGTATGTATTTATGCATGTTGTGTATGTGTGTCCTCCGCTCACCAGCACCACTTGCTTCCTGTATATATGCATTTCACGCCGTACGAAGCCTACCGTGCGAATCGCAGGTGTGAATGTGTGTGTCTGAATGTGTGTCTGAATGTGTGTGTGTCTGAATGTGTGTGAGTGTCTGAATGTGCGTGTATCTGAATGTATGTGTGTGATTGAATGTGTGTGTCTGAATGTGTGTGTGTGTCTGAATGTGTCTGTTCGGGGAGCGGTGGTGTAGCGGTTAGCGCTACGCTGCGCTACGAACCTGACGACCCGAGTTCGATTCCCGCTCACGACCAATTCATCCTGTTACGATCATCTGATACCGGTGCTGGGCCCCCCTAGGTCGACTCAGCCTCAAATGAGTAACTGGTGCGGTGTGTAAGCATCGCCACTGGGGAGACAAAGGCGGCCGGGAGTGAAGCTGGCCACCCACCTCCAAGTGTGCCGTGCCGGCCTTCACAGGCGCTCGCTAACGGTACTTGCCCCAACAGTTTGTTCAGGCTACACGGGAGATCTTTGTCTTTGTGTGCGTGTGGAGAGTGGTGATGCAGTGGTTCGCGCTACGCTGTGCTACGAACCCGGCAACCCGAGTTCGATTCCCGCTCACGACCAATTACAGTGACGGAGAATATTTTTACCTCTCCTAGGTCGACTAAGCCTTGGGGAGACAAAGGCGGCCGGGCACTGTGTTGCCCCCTCCGCCCCCCACCCCGCTCTCTCGTGTGCAGTTCCGACCTTAATATGTTCTCGCAAACAGCATTTGCTGCTTTGTCCTTATCGATACGTATCTATAAAGACAAAGATCCCCCGTTTAGCCTGAACAGACTCTTGGGGCAAGTGCTGTGAGCGAGCACCACCTATGAAGGCCGACACGGCACACGAGGGGGTGGTTGGACAGCACCACGTCGTACACGCGCGCACCCACACGCGTCTATGTACGTACGTCTGTATGTGTGTATGTACGCACGCGTGTATGTACGCACGTGTGTGTGTATGGACGCACGCATATCTGTGTACGCACGTGTGTGTGTATATGTACGTGTGTGTATATGTACGCACGTATGTCTGTGTACGCACGTGTGTGTGTGTGTGTACGCACGTGTGTGTATATATGTACGCACGTGTGTGTGTATATGTACGCACGTGTGTGTTTATGTATGCACGTGTGTATATATGTACGCACGTGTGTGTCTATGTACGCACGTGTGTGTATGTACGCACGTGTGTGTATGTACGCACGTGTGCGTGTGCATGTACGCACGTATGTCTGTGTACGCACGTGTGCGTGTATATGTACGCACGCGTGTATATGTATGCACGTGTGTGTATATGTAGGCACGTGTGTGTATATGTAGGCACGTGTGTGTGTGTGTCTATATACACACGTGTATGTGTCTATGTACGCACGTGTGTGTCTATGTACGCACGTGTGTGTCTATGTACGCACGTGTGTCTATGTATGCACGTGTGTCTATGTACGCACGTGTGTATATTTGTACGCACGTGTGTGTCTATGTATGAACGTGTGTGTGTCTATGTATGAACGTGTGTGTGTGTCTATGTACGCACGTGTGTGTCTATGTATGAACGTGTGTGTGTCTATGTATGAACGTGTGTGTGCATGTACGCACGTGTGTGTGCATGTACGCACGTGTGTGTATATGTACGCACGTATGTCTGTGTACACACGTGTGTGTGTCTATGTACGCACGTGTGCGTGTATATGTACGCATGTGTGTGTATGTACGTGTGTGTGTGTGTATGGGGGAGCGATGGTGTAGCGGTTAGCGCGCTGCGCTATGAACCTGGCGACCCGGGTTCGATTCCCGCTCACGGCCAACACCAGTGACGATTATCTGAACCGGTCCCGGGCCTCCCCTAGGTCGACTCAGCCTCAAAATGAGTACCTGGTGCGGTGTGTAAATATCGCCACTGGGGAGACAAAGGCGGTCGGGCGTGGTGCTGGCCACCCACCCCCTCGTGTACCGTTCCGGCCTTCATAGGTGCTCGCTAACAGCACTTGCCCCTACAGTCTGTTAAGGCTATATGGGGGATCTTTTTTTGTGTGTGTATGTACGCACGTGTGTGTGTATATGTATGCACGTGTGCGTGTATATGTACGCACGTGTGTGTGTATGTACGTGTGTGTGTGTATGTACGCACGTGTGTGTATATGTACGCACGTGTGTGTGTATATGTACG